GAGGCATAGTTTATTTCTACAAGTAAGAGTCCTGTTATTTTAGAGAAACTGAAGAGCTGAGTCTCTTCGATTCGCTTCAAATGAGATTTGAATATTTAATTAAGTTGAACAGATGGAAAATTTTCAGGCATAAACATTTAGTTTAATCTTCCACCTTCTGTATATTTCCCACAATTTTTCTTGAACTCAATTTGCTGAAATTTCCGGAAGTATTAATAAGATACTGGTACCTGTACTTTACAAGGTTTGTACAACATTGATTGATGAATGTATTAAAACGTTGCTGTTCCGCTTGGAATTCTTGAATTAAACTTGATGAATGTAAATTCCAGTTTGGTGTTTCATTGTTGATTTTTACCTTAAATTGTGCAGAATCTGTGGGAAGGTATTGCTTTATCTCGTGGTACAGTGAAACTAGCCTCCCTGAGTGATCCATGGAGCATTCTATTTTCCCTCGCCGAGGGAAAATAGAATGCCCCATGGATCATCGAGGGAGGCTAGTTTTTTTATACCACTCGAAACAGTCAATATTTGTACAATATGTGCTCCCGAAATACTATAACGGGCATACGGGACTTGACCTGCACTGGGCCTAACAAATCCCTAAAATTAACCTGCCGGGATCAACCTGGAGGAATCGGTGACGCTGAATTGCTGAGCTACTTGTTTAACCCACAGCAGTGATAATGTCGCCACACACTTTTAAGAGGACAGGCCTTCACGTCAAAGCCCGGTAGACTTCATGGAAAATGAAGGGGAAGGGAGACTTCGCTGGAACTTGCCATGGCAACGTTTACGAAGACACACTTCTGTGGTCACGTAGGTTTCATTAAGTTTTGCCTCCGTCACAAGATTATCCCCACTGGGTTTGAGTTGAAAATCCAGCCTTCTGATCTCAATCCGGGTGAGAGTAGGCTACTTACCGTAACACAATTCCCCGCATTCTATACTCTACCTCACGTAAGATCATGAGGTGCATTGTGAAAACTATGCCTGAGCGCATTGATAACTCGAGCAACACCGTATGGATTACATCATCAGGGGCATAATTCACAACACAAATCACGAACGGTGCGGCTCTCAAAGCTACCAAAAATAAGAAAATCAAATCTAAGTACCCCAAGCTCAATTCAGACAAATGTCATTGTGTACATCCATATCCACGAACAACGCTAACCAAAAGATTTTGGTAGTTACAGTGCCACTAGACCCCCCCCGACTGATGGCCAACGTTCTGTCCTCGAGCGTAGACTGAATTTCATCCCACTGACGGACCGATGTGACTAGTTCACTACCAATAAGGACGTCGAGAAGTTCTTCGGCCGTATGCGTTTGCGAGCCTTCTTCTACGACAAGGACTTCAGGTCAGTTCATTCTGATTGGGGTGCGGTACGTCTACTCAGAATGAAGACTTGCCTAAGGTCATTGCTAAGCTTGCGCCCACCAAGTCCATGTGGTGTCCACCTGAGGTCTCGGCAAACCCTCGACAGCGTCATTGAAAACCGCCACGCAGTAATGAAGCGCCTTAAATGCCTTAAGTGACATCAGCATTTCATTGGCTGAGGCACTGAGGTCTCTTAAGAACGTTGATATCATCGTCATTAAGAGAGTGGACAAGGGTAAGCGTAAGGACTTGTATGTTGCTGAAGCGGGACACGTTGCGTTCTATGCTAAGGTTGACCGCGACCTTACACAAGGGCATCAAGATATTGTTGCTAGCACTGTCCGTTTTCATTCACTCTTGTGACCTCCCCGGGCCCTGACGCAACCAAACTAGTCGTTCCCAACCCACGCACGGCGGAAGCTTCTACTTGCTACCCAAAATTCAAAAATCCGGAAATCCAGGCTGCCCCATTGTGTCTGCTTGTAGTTGTCCCACTGAATTGATATCCAACTTCCTTGACACGCTTCTAACACCCATTGTCAAAACCCTCCCCAGTTATGTCAAGGATACTAACCATGAACTAAGTCTGCCCGATGAATTTGAGTTCCCAGGATCATCATCTTTTTACCATGGATGTGAAATCGCTTTACACATCCACTCCCTGCGTGGGTGGTTTGGCTGGGCTCAAACACTACCTAGATCTCCGCCCGACTCAGGATCCTCCCACCAGCACTCTGCTCCGTTTGGCTGAATTGGTGCTCAACATTTAACAACTTCCCGTTCAACGGCGAGCACTATATACATTCAGACCTGTGGTGTGGGTGTGTGTGGGCACACGGACGGGACCAAGCTATACCTGTCTGTTTGTTGGCCACATCGAGGAGCAGATGCTGACCCAGTATCAAGGCGTTCGGCCGCTAATGTACCGGCGATACATCGATGATATTGTCGTCGCTATTACCGGTACGTGTGATGACGTTGAGAATTTCTTAGCGTTTGTGGATGCTTTTCACCCAGCACTGCGCTACACATCTGATGTGTCGCAACACTCTGTCACCTTCCCCGACGTGCGCGTCCAGATCTGTGCACGGAAACTTGGCACAACCGTCATTACAAACCCACAGATTCCCACAGCTATCTGCAGTACCAATCGTCTCACCCCTCAAGTGCAAGAACTCCATCCCTTACTCTCAGTTTCTTCGATTGCGTCGGATTTGTAGTAGCGATGCGGAGTTCCAAAAAACGTGATCACGTCCCCCCTACTACTCACATACCACCCTCGAAACATCCCGGTACGTAATATTCAGGATCAAACATTATTCGTACACTCGGGGATGATGTGTCCATAGCTTTCATTTTCACCTAACCCCCAATTTACGCGTTTCGGCGCGATCGCTCTTTCGGGGACATGGTTATGCGTTCCCAGTTAGATTCGGTCTCGCCGTCACAAGCAGGCAGCAATTCCCCTTGTCAGCGCCCCGGTTGTAACACTTGCCCCTACATAGCAAAGATCGTATAGCGCCGCGAAGCGGCGCAAGATGGCAAACTTCACCGTGAATGCACGTAAAACATTGTAACTTTTGCATGGACGCCAATTAAGCAAGCAATACGCCTGCGCAATGCACATTAATGCACAGGCGCAGGCGCCGCGGCAGGCTCTTGCACCTGGTGAGCCTGCGCCCAAGCATTACCGTATACAGCGCAGGCGTAATGCTTGCTCAAATGGCGCACATGGTAATTACATCTTTTGAGCAGGGTTATCCATCTTGCACATTCGGCGCTATACGATCTTTGGTTAACAGCCCGTCGGTCGTCGGCCCCCTCGGTAGCTACAGAACACGCAGGGATCATACATGCATTAGAAGTAATGTGGTTTATTGCATTACGTGTCATCGCTGTGGCAAACTATAGGCCTACATCGAAGAGACCAAGGGTTGCCTTGATGACCGGTTGCGGAACACTTGCGCAGTGTACCTCAACAAATATCCGGTCTCACTGGTGTGCAGCGCTTTTCCGCGCCGCCACATACCCTCGGTGACGTAAGCGTCAGCATCCTGCGGAAAGCGTCATCTGGGCCCAATTTCATGGCGCTGCTCACCGCAAGCGCAAAATCAGCGTTTCTCGAAGATGAAAATTCTGTGCTTACGACGAACATATATCACGGTTTAGCGAGGAATTTTGGTTTGTGCGCATGCGTACATCCCGTAACTAACGATTCTATGGGTGTGTTCGATTAGCTTACACATGTCAGTCAAACTTACCGAGAGCGTTCGTTTAGCCATCACGTGATCCTCGTGCCTGCCCTGTTGTCAGCCACCACTACCCTGGCTGGTAAGCGAGTCCGAGTACCCGAGTGTAATGACGATACGAATGGACTGTTCGAGCGTGGACGTGATGGAACCCCCGGGGATTGACCTTTTTCTCAGACCGCCTTGGCGAATATACTGCAGCATTCGATTAGCCTCATTTTGAGGCTTCCCTTAGTGTAACACTGGTGTATTCAGGGAAGATAGGCCTAATCGAAGTTTAGCGCAGAATTTTACAGCTTGGCCGGTTAGCGCAGATTGGAGATCATTAGCGCGGAATTCTGTTGTAGGCAGTGCCATGAAATTGGGCCCTATGATGTACAGCGCAAGGAACTGGAACAGCGGGTTATTTTCGAACTCGGAACGCTGCATGCAGGTGGATGAACGTGGATTTTCTGCGTTAATTCATTCAGAACTGAATCTGCTTGCCCCAATGAAGGTACCGAAAGACCGGCAAATATATAATTCAGAGCACTGAATATATATTATATTTTTATCTATATTCTGATCTTGGTGCTACACATTTCATATTTCTCTGACATATAAACGCCGCCTGTTTAAAATGATATGTCTGTGGTGCAAGCATGTACCCACAGTACGCCGAAAACTGCTTACGCGGCAAATCCGAATTTGTTCCGAGCACTCAAATTCTCTACGAAAAAGAGTATTTTGTGGCCCTTGAAATTGAAGATCTGTAGGAAAGACAGGTTAAGGCGGGCAAAAAGATTACCAGCTTGCGTCTGAGTGAGATTTGGACAAAATTGGTGCCTGAAAACGGTATATTTTTGGAGAAGTAGACGTCGATATTTCAAAATGGCGAGCTTCCGAGTCAAGACTCGACTGCACGGAAGGGGTGACCTTCCGTGGAAATAATATCTTCAAAAGACATCGGTTAATGAATGGAAATAAAAAAAATAAAAAATCATAAACTGGGCTTTAATTTGACGCGTGTTTCAAGCGCTTGAGAAACGCGTGAGTATTTTTCCAGATTTTTTTTCATTTCGGGTATTTATCACTGTTGGTCATGGCAGTTCAGCCAGCAGCCATCGGGCGCGAAAATAGCGCCCTCGTTTGACCAGTCACAAAATCGGTTCTGGCGAAAAAGAAGGATTTGAACTAAATTACAAAAATAACAAGAAACAGCACAAATTAATGTCCAGCTATTTTAATGAACATGTAAAACTTTGTTTCAAATATATGTATTTTTCTTTGTTTGGAATTATTATTACTTGTCCCAAATTTTGGTGATTCTAGTTGGATTTGTTTATGCAGTTTATTTGCTTGGCAACGTAACGCACAAACAGGCCGGCTTGCACGCGCACGCAGCGGCGCGCGCCGCGCCAATACTACGCGGCCTGATAGAGTCCGTGACATGACTGAGGAGCGTACGTGTACATGTATGTCATTTTCTATTTTGTTCTCTTTATCAAGGTAAATATTGACCTTCAGGCTTATGTGTGGATTTTTGGGAAAAGTTCCGCATATGGACGCCAGTAATTATTCCATGCAATGACATTCGCAATTATTGAACTACTTTTAGATCACAGTTCGCAGATGACATTGATCTCTTTATCGGCCCAAAACTTCAAAACCAATTCCTCTGATTGATCAAATTTACAGGAAACATGCTACCCAAGATCTAAATTAAACCCTCCTTTTATTTGGTATCAATAAAGCGGATTGAGGAGATTTTTGGTTGAATCTTGCATTGGATGTGTCAAAGTCAATGAAAATGTTTTTCACGAAAAAAATGAAGATTTGCCGAAGTTTACTTTATGCACGAAAATGTTGCCATTAAAAATCTCCATCGATTCACTGTGGCAAATTTTATGTGTACTGTGGTGATATGGCGAAATGACGTCATTGCCGCTTGAACTAGCAACGTAAGCAGAAACTGGGGACATCGCTAGATTGTGCTTTGGTCCCCGACCTGTCAAACCACTATGTATTACTCTGTAGGCTATAGGCCTACTTTGGGCAGTTTCCAGTTCGTAGGAGTCTTTGAAATTTTGGTTTTCGATTTGGGTCATTTGTTTACTAAGCCTACAGCCTGATAGCCCCACTAATGTGGCATGGACTCTCACTCCCAATCCATCCTTAGCCACACATCCGTACGCAATTTCGTGTCGGCGTACTGAACATTTTCTGCTGCCCAAATTTTGGAAGAGCCTATTGGTACATGTAGTATCTTATCGCTCAGTCCGTGTATTAGATATGTCTTGACATGGAACAGCCATTGAGACGATGAGGGGTCAAGTGACATAATGTTCAACGACCTCATTTTAAAGATGGCAACAGTGTGAGTGAGCCCGTGAGACTGAATGGGTGAAGGCAAAAAGACTAGAAAATACCAGAACAACGTGAGTGAAATCATTCAATAAATGGCGCTAAGAAAGTGGAGAGGCTAAGGATCATCTCTTTGTGCAAAATAAATTGCGCCCACGATGATAAGTGGGTGCCCTGAAAATGTTCAGTACGCCAACATGAAATTGTGTATACGGATGTGTGGCTAAGGATGAAACGGGAGTGAGAGTCCGTGCTACACTAGTGGGGCTAACAGCCTCCCGATCGCTGACCAATGCCAAACACAGTCGGGATTTGTTTGGTCTGGGAACCAGACAGTGTCAGAGACAGCTCACGATCCGAACTGCTGTTTTATCGGCGACTGTGTATCTCTCGTGGAGTCGTAATGAAGCTTTGTGTGTATGCGTGAATGCAATGAATGAATGTGTCGAAAACAACACCCGTTTTTTCATGGGTGCGCGTCATCGTGCAGGATGGGGATTGGACAAGCAAAGGTGTGCGCTCCACACATGCCACGTTATGTCTGGCAATGAGTCCACACTTGATCCCAAGCATCGCATGCATGCCTTGCAAATGCTATCTCATAGCATGCGAATGCCATCTCGTACATACATACATACATACGCGTAGCATGCGAATGCCATGAAAATAGCATGGGAATGCTATCTCATAACACGCAAATGCTATGAGAAAACGGTAGCATGCAAATGCCATGAGAATAGCATGCCAAACAGCATTCTCCATAGCATGTGACTGCTATAGCTCATTTGAGTATTTTGGCTTCTGACATGCTATGCGCATGCTATTCGCATACTATGCGCATGTGAATGCTATCTGAAATGCAGTACTTGGGAATGCTAATGGAAGGCAGTTCACGTAGCATTCGCATGCTATCTTGAATACAAAGTACAAATACTAAATGAATCCAGTCCAGCACAGTGTACATGCATACACGAAGCTGGAGCAACAGCTCCACATGTGCAATGGTTCACTACCTGTTGTTGGTCACCCTGCCATCTGTGGTCCCAAGCAGGGTTGTGTGCATTAAATTGCAATTTAAATCAAATGATTTTTTTGAAAAAATTACTGATATAAATCAACATATTTAATTGTTTGGGTTAAAAGCCAAAAATGTTGTAATTTTTGAATTTTTCTTACTGATTGGAAATGTTTGCAGGGTTTGCCCTTTTTAACGGCAAAAATCCCCCTTCTGTGAGCCTTCCAGTTCCTAGTATTTTAACGAAGTATGAATGCGCATGTGTTAGACAAAATCTGGGTTGGCAAGATTTTTATGTTTAATTCTGTCGACTTGTTTCGATTTAAATCAGCTTTTTGGATTCAGTAAGTGCAATTGATGCAAATGATTTACAATCATGGTTTTATTTTAGTTCATTTAAATTGCCCACTTAGGGTTTAAACCATAGAGGAAGGACACAGAAAGATTCAAAACTCTGGCACTTCAAAGTGCTTTACAAGTGGGAATATTTGGTGTGTTTTGTTTGGAATTAACTACAACTTTACACCGTGACCAGGAAATAGATAGTGAAAAATATCTGACATTAGATCTGCTTTTGCCATCATGAATAATAAACTTGTTACTTTAAGTTGATACGCTGCCATTATCTATGCAATGTTTGTAATTTTATTTTGTCTCTCCAAAACATCTTTTTTCAAAGTCTTAGTACGAATTTCGCTAAGACTGACCAACAACATGTTGACCACCATTGGACAGTTAAGTTATGTTTTCTGTTAACCAAAATTAACCATGGATGTGTATCCTGCTGGAAACAAGGCATGACCTACAGTTTCTGCACAGTCCATGCTAAGTAATCTGCTCAAATCTAATTCTATCCCTCCCTAAAAAAAATACCAGTGCATGTAGTGCTGTTTCGGTTTACCCAACAGACCTTATTTTAATGTGTGACCCTAAAATTTTTATTGGCAAGCTGAAAAAATATAAAGTTTAAAATTCTTTTGTCTTTTTTGTCCTGCAGAAAATGCCACTCAACAACCCTTTTATGTAAAAAACATATGTATCTACCGTTATAAAAATTAGCCATTTTTGAAATGAAACCCTTTTTTTTACACTTGTACAGGTTCCCTTCATGGTTTGCTACTGTGGTGATGAAAACATGTAATAAAGCTCATAAAGCTGATTTAGCGCGAGTTGCATGTGCATGCACATACGTGTAGATATATACATTACATGTACATGTTCGTACCTTTAAACTGTATAACTGCATGTATTTGATCAATAAGCTGTTTCTGTTTCCTTTCACTCCACTCTTTCTGCAGACAAGTGTGCAGACCCAACTGATCACATTGGCAGTTCGGAAGCCCATCATCACAGCAAATTATGGACACAGAATACCTGAAGTGGAATTTGGGCAATTGCCTGACCAGTGCCTTGGCCGAAGTCGCTGAGAAACGGCCCATGGATCCTATTGAGTACATTGCACAGTGGCTCTACAAGTACAAAAAAAATGAGCACTATGCAGAAGAGGTACATCCACAACCCTATAGCTCTCTAAGATCCTTAAAACCGAGTCTAGCTGCTGTTAACTCTCTGTGGAAGGGATACCCTTTGAAAGTACACAAATTGTACTTGTGGCTACCTGTACACAGCAGGCCAAAACTTTAAAGAATTTAAAAAAATATCCTTGTGAAAAGGTATGAGGAGCAATACTGAACAAATTCTAGGTGTGGACCCTTCGTGGTGTTATGGTAAACACAAGACTACATGTATATTGCATGAATTCCTAGTTTTTCAATTATTGGACCTTAGGTAACTTTGTGTAAAAGGGTAGATGCTTTTGATGCAACCTTTATGCACTACTGTTTTTCTTCGATTTTGTTTCTTCTAATAGGAAGAAGCTCAAAGTAAGCAGCTCATCATTGAAAAGAAAGAGGCTGAGAAAGAAAAGGTCCGGCAAGAAATAATGCGACAGGAGGCTGAGAAATTAGCTCTAGAAGAAGCTGAGGCAAAGAAGGTAAGACTTGTCCGTGGCAGACTGAAACCAGTTTATGCACAAGGAGTAAAATGGAGAAGTATATACAATGGTTTTGAAATTATGACTTGAGGCAGTCTTGTCAGCAACATCAAAGATACTTGTAAAAAATGTGGTTTAGATACATGTATGATGGATAAAGATAGTCCACACACATTTATTGTAATGAAGTAGGATAAAAGCAGTTGAAATGCTGACATAACGTCTTTTTATACTCAACGAACATTATGTTAATTTACATTACCTGCTAATGCAAACAGACTGGCAAGTTCCTTTTCTATGTCGATCTTTTTTCAAAGTAGTTTAGGGTTTTGCTCTCGCACGGAGAAACACCGAATAAAATACCTTTACATGTGTTCCTTTAGGCCTTGCTTCCACAACCAGTGAGTTAAGTTAGGTTAAAGATGCATCCTGATTTTGGGGGCAAATTAGGTGGTCTGTTTTTTTTTTTCAGTGTCCCGTGGAACTGACGCTGTGGTATACATGCACTTTACATTCACTATACACCGTATTGCCTGTTACTTGAGCTAATTCTGATGTGCAACTGCTTGCCTGAGCTGCTCTTAGTATGTACATGTACATGTAGCATGTTTGTGTAGAGGCCTAGCTTACCGGTAGGTTGTGTCCATATGTGATGAGGGATTCCAAAGCTAAGGCTAAGGGTCTTGCATGTCGCTGTGTATTAATAGGCAAAGCCCTAACCATGCAACCTCAGTGCAAATCGCAAGCATGGTGGCCTATTCTGCTGTGGACAGCCTGACGGGTTCGAAACATGGCAGTCTATTATGGGTGTGAGGTCAAGAAACTCTGGGGGAGCGAGGGCAGTATTATGACATTTTCAAACTGCCAAATATTGTTTAAGGCCCCATCAATGCATTTTTGTTGCTCGAGCATTCCCGGAGTGGAACTGAACTCCCAAAATCCAATTTCTTTATAAATGTTAGGAGAATCTGCCACTTTTTGGGTAACAAAAATAATGCTGAAACTAAAGTTCAAGCTGCTTAAAGGTGCGATTTTCTTGTAAATGAGAATTCACGACATGTGACCCTGTTTCCAGTTGTGGAAGATTAGAGGTAGTGTACACGATTTGCATGTACTGGAATTTTTCAAAATTGGGTGATTTGGGGGATTGAATTTGTGTATCATTCCACAGACTTGTACCATTTTCGATGTCACTGCTTTGAGGAAAATTGAGAAAAATACTATTCATTTTAACACAGTGCGGCTTGTTAAATTTGTTTACATGTACATGTACATCAGTCAAATACTGTCCTCACACTGTCAGTGCACATTATTAGCACTTCATAAATGCCCTTACAGTTAGGCATGAAAGTTTCAATGTTTTGTCAAATAAATACAATGGAAAAGTATATCCCAACCCCTCCCCCCCAAAAAAATCTCTCTGCTGCAGCTGGGCTATCTACGCCATCCAAACACTACAATAACAAGCCTGACATGATCAGCCTTGTCACAACCACAACACGATACAAGGTTGTTACGATGTCAATGAGTGCACACGGCAGTCTTGCATGCGATGCATGCACACCAGTGTTGGAGTCGAGTCCTCAAATTCAAGTACAGAGTACTCTGAGTACTCTAGGGGCCGAGTCCTGGGCCGAGTCCAAGTACAGTGGGGACGAGTCAGAGTCCAAATCTCTGAGTCCGAGTACATCAAAGGCCGAGTCCAAGTACCTTAGTCAGAGTCCGAGTACAATTGCAAAGCAGTACATTAAACTAATAAGTAAATAATTTAAACTGAATTACACAGGCAGGTGGGCTTCATTACACAAATCTGCATTATCATGTGGATATTCACACCTTAAGAACTACGAATTTGGCCCATCTCTCCCCTAACCGGAAGAATGTGAAATGAATTCTAATCAAATAGCTGAATATCTTAACACGATGACTGCCAACTATGAGTATACATGTACTTGTAATTACGGTCGTACCGGATTCTTCTAATATACATGTACAAGGCGTTTGTATTGTAAATGTAATACACTGGCAGTACCGAGAACAACCAAATATACTGCTTGAAGTGGTGAGGACATACATGTACATCTGTAAAATGCTCATGTTTAAATACACACTTTAAATTACCCATTAAATACTCTCGCATGCAACAATGCTAATTGGCAAATGGGAATGCCTCGTGAAATTACAGTATGTGTGGCAGTCAACGTGTTTAAGGTATATTACAACTACATGTTCTTAATGGTGAACTTATTGGCCATGTCCTTGAACATACATGTACTTGCGGACTTGTCTTTTTCAGCTGCGTTTTCAAGCCTCTAAGCTGCGTTTGTAGGGCCAGCTGCTTGTATATGTACCGGTATATGTACAGTACCTTGGCTTTTACTTGGCTCATCAGGGTCCCACCCTTCAGCTTGTTGTCGAGAAAATTCCTCTTCTGTTGTCATGTACATGTATAAATGTTATTCAAATTGGTAAATTTCTATGCAAGAGTCCCTTGGTTGTCCCTTTGCAGTTTCAATTAGCACATTCAAAATGACTGCTAAATGTACACCATTGCCTAATTACTGCTGCATTTCTACATGTACATAACAGGGCTGGGCATAACAGTGACTTCACCACTGCCAACAACATCTGTATTTTCTTATTGAGTCATCATAACTTTCTTCATGTCTTATGGGAGGTGTGTATTTTCTGTGAAAGGGATGTTGTCCATTGTAGTAAAATCACACTTTGTGTGACTTTTCACCACATTGTTTGTACATGTAATTGTTAATAATGGCCCACAGCCTTACAATATGTGCAATACCTTATAACTACCGGTAAATCAGCCACCCAACACTGAGTTTTGATGAACACTACATGTACATGTTACTCTGTTGGGGGGTATAATGGTACGCTGAAGCTAGGTGTTTGCAGTGCAATCTCATGTAGTCCAAAGTGTGAATGATTATATAATAGCATTTAAATTTGTGATTTTATTCATATCTAAACATTTTAACCACTTCAAGCCAGGGCATTTTTCAATGTTGATGATGCTGGGCTGGCATAATTATCTTTTGTTTCATTTTCAAAATCCTTCAAAAATTCATCATTTCATTTAATGGATGTTTATAGCCCCACGAAGTAATCTTTAGGCACTACTCTAAGTTGACAGGTGACCTTCATTGATGCCCGAGTATTTTAGCAAGGCCTGCAGCCTTGTAAAGAGAGCCCAGATCGTGCGGTGTTATGTAACTTTCTTTTGTTCATGAACCTGGCTCAGTGCACTGCTGAACTCTTTTCAATATGGCTGCGGTGGTGGAGCGCTTTTGTCCCCGGTGGTAATCCGCTCGCTCTAAATGCCCAAAACCCTGATATACGGTTTCAAAACAAGGCTGGATTATCACCACTTTTGAGAGTGAAAAATGTTGCTAATGCCCAGCAGCCTGGTCTTTTGTTTGGAGTACGGTCTTTTGTTACAGGGCCCTGTTTCCTTTGTCCAAGTTCGGAGACCCTGGCCATGCATATAAAGCATACGTCTCTGATTTTGGAGTACCCGGCGGGAAGTGGTTGAGCAACATTTGAGAAAAAGACAGTGAAGCATTAAACCAAATACATGTAGTTTGGCACCACCCCATTAAATAGACATCAGATTCGGGAACGTGATCAAAAATGGCTTCCTTGTGAATAAGGTCATTAGTTTTGCTCAAGGATAATTTTAATAGTTTTCATTTTCTCCTTTTTTAGGCTGCAGAGCCCCCACCTGAAGCACCAGCAGAGGAGGACAAGTTGACAGTCACCAAAGAACGAAGCAATCTCCCAGGTGCCCCTAACCTTGAGACTGTTCCAGAGGGAGAAGAACAACAGGAGGAAGAGCCAGTAGCTCAAGAAGAGGACAATGTACAGCAAGAAACGAAGGTAGCATTCATGGGGTGAAAATTCATTTTTTAGCAGTGAAAATGAAATGAGTGCTTCAGCCTTGTTAGAAGCCCCTCCTTGATGGAGAACAAATTTGCAAGGCATGCTGGCAAAATGTGACAGTAGGCTTTGCTGGAAGTTAGAAAGTGAATTTACTGTTAAGACTCCATGCACAAGAATTAAACTGCTGGGGTGTGTAAAAGTTTGCATGAAGAGACATTAAAAAAAAACCAAATTCCAAGTGAAGGTCTTTGTGCCCTTGAGTTTTATATTTGTGGAAACATAGAGCTCTAAATAATTACAAGAGTGCTAACTTGCTGTGCACTGAGTGAAATCTGCTAGTCGCATGCATGACATAATACCACTGTGCTTATGCAAAAACCTACGGAAAAAATTTTGATTTGGTTTTGCGTTTGTGCTAGTACCCCTATTTCAATTATCTTCTACTGGTATATTCTACAACTACATGTATGTGTCAACAAAGAAAACTTGCCAAAAAACTAACCACAGGAGCAGTAAATGTTTTGTTTGTTTGACCTGGTGAACAGTGCAAACATGTATGCATATGCATTGCAGATGAATTTTGCCGAGACTGTAAAATTTGTCATGCCAGTGATAACAATGTGTTGCGTGCTGTTTGCATTGGATGCCGTTCTCCTGTTGCACAGGAGTACTGTACATTATTTGGAATGCGTTTCATCTTATGTTCTACAAAGACACATGAATTCAAGTTGTCTGCACTTGGGAGGCATCAAGATTGGGAATAGTGAATTAGTGCTGTAGTAATTTATTATAGCTACTTGTATATGTGTGGAAATTAAATGTAGTACATGTACATCCTGTTTGTTTAGAAAAATTACTTGTATGTCATATGTGAACTACACATGTCAGGGGTCACAAACGTGAAAAACTGAAAATTGAAAGAATAAAAACACTGTATTTTGGTTTTTCATTTATTCCACTTTAGCCTGTGCCAATTTGCCAGCTCATTTGACAAATTGAGATGTGTTTTACCGTTAGTCTTCAACGGAACACCTTTTCCAGTTTAAACTGCAGATATGTTTGCCTTTCTGGCTGTGGTCTTATAGAATTGTTTTCACTCTAGCTACATGTAGATACTTACTTGAAACTTGTATCTTTCATGTTTGATCCCTGCAGGAAGAGGGAGGAGAAGGGGAAGGGGATGAAGATGGAGGAGGTGGACCTGAGGTTGAAGATGAGAGGGGGGAAGGTGATGGGGAGCAGGCGACTGCCGAAGTGGAACAGGAAGCAAATGAAGCAAGCTAATAGTTCAGAGTCACTGAAAGATTTCTTAGGATTAGTAGTTGGCAAGCTGTGTACATGCTGTATGTGAATTTATTAGTGCCACACGGCCTTTGTCACAGCCAAAGTTTTATGCTGGCACCTGAAATTGGTTTAGAAAAGTTTGTACATGTCATATGGGCATGGAATTCTTTTTACTGAATTACAAAAATAGAGTGAACTATCTGTTCAGTACGTGCACAAGGCTTTTTACTTTTTGTTGTGTTTTTATCTTGCTGTAAGCACATCTTGAAAAGTCTGCCTATGCTTGTAATACAAACAGAAAGACTAATCTTCAGAGATACCTGGAAGGTGTGACCAGCAAATTCATCCTCCTAAAAAGTGTCCTTTTTGTTTTGACTCGGAAAAGCATGCTGTTTTTTCGTAGAAGTTCAATTTTCGTACATCTTGGATCAATGAAATCCAGGAATGTTCAGAAGTGTTTTCCTAACTTGCCCATGAAGGAAACATCAGTGAACACTCACCCTCCAAGATATAAAGAAACAACAAATTGAGTTGGTATGCGTCTGATTAGACAAAGTACATGTATTTGTATATTTTTTACCAAAAAGTATTTGAAACAAAATTTCTTTCCTTTGTTCAAGAACATTATATCTTTGATCAAGAACATTGTATCTTTTACTGCCTTTATGATTTTCATATAAAACAGGCCCTTGCAGAGTAATTTCTGCAGATTGAAAGACAAAATCATGTATTCTCCTTCTTTTGGTTTAGTCTTACTGCTAAGAGCCTAGATTCTTAGAACGGATTTGACTATCTCATCATTTTTGGTAAATCCTAGTCATTGCTGAACCTAAGGCATATATGAGATATCTTTTTTGTCCGAGAAGGTAATGAAAAACTTGTTTAACTGTGAGAGAATTGCAACATTTTCTGTCTGGTTCGCACTTTTCAAAATGAAGGGCGGAGGAATTTTAACAACTGTTTGATGACTGTTGTTATATTGAAAGGTAACAGCCATCGTAAAAGCTGTTATCGTACTCATCCAAGAAATTTAAAATTATTAAAATGTGCAGTTATGCAACCTACAGCTTCCTTATCTGACTCACAGTTTTAGAGAAAATAAGCTTGTAGCTATTGATTCTTTGGGAATGTCGAGGAAACTGTTGACAATGGGGAATGTTTTCTATGACTGCACTTGTAGTTCCACAACTGGATCCACACCTTCAAGCTCCACTGCACGCACAACTATAGTTATACAACCTGCAAATTCCATTTCATGCTGCACCACCTCCGGATTACCTTTATAAACTCTCTCTCCACTCGAGTCCAGCACACTCTAAGGATTGCCAGCACATCCAGGCCAAAATGTCGAGTTAACATTCACCAGTTCTCTCAGATCTACACCTTCCAAAAAAGATTGATCCCATGGTGAACCTGCAAGCCTACATCTCGTGTAACTTCCACCATGCAAAGTTTAAAATCTTACTTCATTTCAAGAAGTAACTCATGAAAGGTAAAGTGCTCTTATTAACAAGGTTCAACTTTATTTTGCTGGAAGGATCTCTGTTGTGTTTTTGGCGGGAAGGGACAGTATATAGCAGGAATGGACAGAATTTGGCAGGAACAGACAAGTGTTATTTCCCCAACTTGTCAAATAAATTCATTTAACTAGTTAGTGAAATACTTGGTATAAGAGTCTGAAAACAGGTGAATTGACACAGATAACATAAAAAAGTTTTGACAGATGTAATTTTAAACTTTCAGCAAAAGTTAAACAAACAGCTCCACAGAACTTTAGTTATTGCAGATGAAAAGAAAGTGTTAAACAAATTGTAAAAGGGAAAAAAAATGATGAAAAGAGGTCTTTTGACGTGTAGACAATTCAACAGGAAGTCGCCCAGTGCTAAATGCGGACACTATCAAGTTTGTCAAGAATTTTATGTCACACAGGACTAATTTAGATGGCAATATGCTAATGAGTGAAAACTATTTGGCACTGGACAGTTTTTTGGCATGACCACCTGTGTTCACCACAGAAATTATGTTGTACATGTGCGGTGAAAAATGTTTATCCCGCTATCGCTCGGTTTGCATGGCAAAAGTAAGCAAACCTCCACAACTAAACTAAGGTGATTTGGCTGCTAGTAAAGTTCAACACTTCCATTCAAATTGAAAGTTTGACTTTGAATGTACTAAAGGGTTTTCATTGTTTTAACCTTTTAAATGTATATGAAATGATTACGATTTTGGTTTTGAAACCCTAACTTTTTTCTTGTAAAAAAAAGGGAAAAACACCGTTCTTTTGTCCTTTATTGCATCCAATATTGAGTTTTCTGGCGAAAGAACACATATGCATGTAGTCTAAATGTTGATCAAGCTTTCAATCATATTTCATACTGTTGCTTGTAAAGTGTCTGCAAGAGTATGCCTCTTACGTAGTCTGTGCGGTTGTGACTGGGGTGCTGATTTCACTACCATTCATCACTCCTCCACACTTGCCCTTGCCTATGCTCCGGCCGAATACTGCGTCTCCGTCTGGAGGCGCAGCTGCCATACAAAGAGAGTAGACGCCAAACTCGATTCTGCCCTCCAAACCATCACAGGCTGCCTGAAACCCACTCCTACTCATCAGCTCCCTGTACTAGCAGGCATCGCACCTCATCACCTCAGAAGAGAAGCTGCCACAAGACAGGCAACCCTTGGGGCCGGCGACCATTTAGACCCAGTTTGAAAACGGCCCCCCCCCCCGGTAGCCCACCCTGTATAATGCCTGCCCGGTATTCAGGCTACTCCAGGCCGGTATCAGGCCTGTCTGTACATCAGCATTTCAAAGTCCCTGATGAAAGGCTTCCCCTACAATGCTTCCACAGATGAATAGGGGTCTAAGCGGATTAGTATAAATATTGTATAGAGCTGAAGGATTAAAAACCACAAGCATGTTCCTTCTGGGATAGATTACATGTACCACTACTTGCAAACAATAGACCCCAGGATGGAGAAGTTCGAGATCAACAACCAGTCCAGCATCCCAGGCCGGTAGCCAGGCCGGTATGATAGGTGTTTTTGCAACAGGACAAGCTTACCGGGGGGCCCTTTTCAAACCGGGTCTAAATGGTCGCCGGCCCTTAAAGCTGCCATGGAAGAATCACATCCTCTCCACACCAAGGTCCATGCTGCCCTCCCTAGGCAGCGCCTTAAAAGTAGGAAACCCTTCATCAGGTCTGCCCAAACCTTCACCACAGAGACTGAGAACCTCAGCAGGAAAGCTTGGCTCTCCAACAAGTGGAAGGAGCAACAGCCTGCAGGCAGACTCACCAACATGCTGCCTCTGTCATCCCACCCTCTTGGCTGTGACCTTCCGCGTAAAGAATGGTGCCGCCTGAATCGACTCCGTACTGGCATTGGGCGCTTTCGAGCCTGTATGCATCTATGGAACCTTTCAGACACAGACAGATGCTACTGTGGTGAGGTGCAGACAGCCGGCCATCTGGTAGAACAATGCACTATCCATCACCTGGATACGTGTCACATGAATCACATACTGTCATCTTATGGTGGAACAAAGTGGGGGGGTTACATTGGTCTAAGATGGTAGCCTAAGAATGCCGAGTATTAATAATTTGGGTGACACATGATTTTTTAGTAATAAAACCATGTTGATTGTTGGCAACCTGTTTGCCCTTAGTTTATCCCTTATAATATTAGCAACCATTCCATAATCTTACAATAGAAATAGGCCCCAGTACAACAGGTCTATAATTGTTAAGGAGGAAACGGTCACCAGATTTAAACACAGGAGAATCATTTCCAGTTTTCCAACCCCTGCGAAGGGAACCACCAGAGAGAAAAAAATTCAAATTCTACACAAGACAGGAGAAATAGTGTTCAACTGTATTACCCAAAAACTGGACACTAATCCCATCAGGTTCAGGGGCCTTCCCAAGGGCGAGGGAACGAATGATGCACTGAACATCAATAAATAAACAGTCGTAGAAGTGTCAGGAATGGGAAAGTCACATACTAGAGGACTTCACAAAGTGAGTTGGCAACAGAAAAAAATGGGGAAAGCACAAGCTATTTTGAGAGGATCTACACAAATTTAGGAACCATGCTTTAAAGAAGGTGAATTTGGGGATCGTTTCGTGCTTTGCAGAAAAGACCATAACAGTTTTGTTATTGCTACAATTAAAAGAACATGTGCTCAATGAATGTCTTGTGTATTTTACGTGTAGAATATTCAACAATTGCATACTAACTTATACAATTTCCAGTCATTCAAAACATTTAAACAACTTGGCATTTCTATTTAGTTTACGTTTAAGATCTAACAAGCGCTTAAACTCAGGAGTCAACCAAGCACAGTTTGTACGTTTAGCTTTTTTATGTGAACATGGAATCGAATCTTAACAGCTGCATTTACAATATCCCAAAAACCCTCCCATGAGGAATCAGCATCATTTATAGCCATAAATAAGAGGTTCAAGTCGTTAATAGCTACAAGAGTATACCTGTTGGCTAAAAATTGTCGTATATAAGAAGAACGAGGCAAACATTTGTTTGCACAAAACATAAATTGCACAGCATGATAATCACCTAAGACTGAATTAGCTACAGATTCAGCATTGAACATTTTACATGCGATATCACAGAAATGAGATAAATAGCAGAACCCAAAGAATAAATATTGCTAGATAGCCTAGTAACATCTGTGACAAGTACCGGTAGTATTAAATTTAATGAGTCAGTAAACTCAAACATGTCAACTAAGGAGGCCCGATCAGACTATGATTCAGCTGCTCTGGAGTGAAAGTCAACATTGAAGTCCCTAAGTAACAAGTGAATCTGGGCAGGACATGTTCCACCTTTGCAGGACAAAATGACAGTTTATCCCAGTCCGATGCACTCTTGCTTGGGAATGACAAACGACTACATTTTTGGGCAAGTGGCTTCCAAAGGTTGACATGCTAGTCTTGGCTGTAACTGGGACTTGCATTTGCGGATATGGCTTCCCAGGCAGCAGAAAAAGGAGCAGACCATGTGTATGTGAACAATTTTCCAATTTGATATCTAACATGTTTGGTTTCTCTAACAGACGTAGAATGAAGTGTTCAGCATCTCCTAAGATCTTAAGCAATTTATTTGCATTTTCTTTTCTAATATGAACTTTAGCACCTTCGCCCAGAGGATTCTTGCTGTTAAGCACATCAAACGCAGCATCAACATTCAGTAAAAATCAAACTGTGATCCCTCCAAATGGAGGGAGCTTCAACCCTCTTTGCAATACCATAGGGCATCTGCTACACTTGCACTAAATACCTGTGCTCCAAATTGACCTTCATTTTTTGGTCTTTGCTAGTCATTATGTGCACTTTTTAGTTCATTACCTAATCGAAGTCCCTCTTTTTCTTGAAGATTATTGAGCTCTTCTATACACTGCCAATTTATGGTCTGACTATCTGAGGTTTTGAAAACCCCCATGTCTGCAAATAAATTGCAGAGCAACTTCAACAAATGGTATGCATCAAAAATGATATGAACTCGAATTGAATGATCAGATGGATGAGGAAATGATAGATCCAAACCAAGCACATTCATGTTTGCCCCAAGGGATTTCATCATTGCAAAATGACATGATGGCTCATCACAAGTTAGAGACACTGCTCATATACCACTATCATAAAGTCTACAAAAACACTCATCGACCAGATTTGCTTGTTCTTCCACTTAAGCCATCTACAAGAAAATAGTCACACGGTATTTTCTAACCTTCATTAGCTGACACTGCCATAAAATCTAAAGCATCTTTTGGTACTGGTGTGGAGTCACTGAACCAACCTGAACCAATGTCTACGTAACCTCTATACTACCTTTTGCACATTCAACATGTTTACGTATTGCCATCTCATTGAACATAACTGAACAGTCTCGGTCCTTTTCCTGTGCCAAGTTGTCATTGGCATTAGCTTTGAGAGCATCAAATGCTTGCTTTGTGAATCCAGGGTCCCCTTCTACACTACTGTACCATGTTCTAATTGTACGATGATGAGGCACAGCAAGGTCAAATGTTTCTCTCGCATAATCATAAGCCTTTACAGAGTAAAACTACAGCATCGTGGCAAATGAATGAACTGTGTTTTTGTTTTTGAATGTTCAACCAGGGTTTTCCCTGCCTATTCAACTGTGAGAGGGCCCGCCTTACTGATTTGAGTGGCCACCTCAGTCTTTTTTATTGAATTTACCACCTCACACTACAACAAAGACAGAAGGAAAAAGCAAAATAACTTAGATATTTTGAAACAGTAAAGAGGAACACAGAAAATAAGATTGATTTATTTTAGAGGGAAAATTTGGAGTAAATGTACTATTAGACTATACAGAATTTATTTCAGGTCTTTTTGAAAACACTTGCTTTTGTTTTAGGCACTAGAATTTTGGCAAACTTGTTTGACCACCTCACACAGATCAGTACCCCAGGGGAACTCTGTGTTCAACAATTCTTTGAAAACGTTGTTAAGGACTCCACTGAAGGTTGACTCAAACATCTCTGCACAGTTGCTTGACATACATGTAAAGTTTTGATTGTGCCAAGAATCTAGTAAGTTTGAAATCTTGGTTGCTCAAATTTCAACGCCATCTCACAAGTTTCAAGTTCATCTAAAAGTAAAAGCATGTAGGAATTCAATCGTTTAAATGTGTGGTGCAACAGGCACCCAAAACAATTCCCTGGCCTTTGAAGTGAAATTAAACACATGAATGGAAATGAGGACCAACATAAAAAATGTATGAAGAGCCTGTCAACAGCCCCAATTACGCAGATTTTTCCCCTACGTTTTTTCTTTTGTGTGTAAGATTTTTATTTACCACTTGTAGTTCTTGATAGCATGCAACCTGTCCAGTGATGAAAAAATACAACTGAATAAAACTGCAAATACAACTGAATGGAAAGGCCAGAGTACTTTTTGAATGAATGCCCCAGGCAAACTTGCATTGAAGCTTCCTTTGTAAAGTAGTTGGTACAGAAGGCCTAGAATGCTAAGATTCATTAGAGCGCCACACTGACACGGTGGGGAGAGCTTGGGCTGTGAGTACACTGAAGGTGTACCTGATGAGACAGCGCTGAAGGCCAAGACAGTTCTGAAGGTTCTATCTCAAGCTACCTGCAAAGCATAATGCATGCCCACCACCACACCCACCATAATGAATCAATGAAACCTGTAGTTTAACTTCTGTGCTACACTTTTCCTTAAATCGGTCAAGACTGGAGGTTCTCCGGCCTGGCACTCTCAAGCTTTCTGTAAGTTTATATCCACAAGTCTGTATTGTTTGTAACATGCAGGGCTGGGGCTCAGCTTAAAGTGTTTAAGGAAACAATTACAACTGTTTATTTCAATTATTTTGGTATGGAATCATTAAGTTTTATTTGATTTTGTTCACTGCTTTAAAAGTTACTTTTTTTGCTTTTGGCAATTTGAAAAAACTCATTACTTTCCTTTGACCATGCAAACTAATTAAGTGTAATTTTGTTTTCAATGTGTTGCAAACTTTTGCAAATTTGAAGTTGTTGGAATTAAGCATTGATTTTTATCTTTTTTAATGATCATCCAAAACCTTGTCAAAGCATAACTTCGCTATTTCTGAAAAAAATCACATTCCACCTGTGACAGAGCCACTGGAGGGCAAGGGAAAATGAATAAAACTACAAATGAAAATTGGGTCAGATTCTAATTCATATATATGAAACAAGTCAAAGAAAGCTGCAATTTGTGATTAGCACTTTATTCCCTTTGGCTAAAAAGAACTGAGCCGTTCTTTTGGAACACACATTTCCTGCATAAGACGACAAAATTATTTTCCAAAGATGATAATTCACAAACTTCACCTCTAAAAGAAAGAAAACATATCAGAAGTTCTTCAGACTTATCCTAATTTCTGGAGATGTCGTCACATACATGTAAATCAATCATACACACAGCGATCAAGAACAGAACAACAAAATACGGAAATCAACTACCGGTATTCAATGTGTTGTGTTTCAGTGGTGGAAACAAAATGGATGAACTGAAAGCAACACAGGCGACATCAACAAGTCTCAAATTGGGGAAAAAGGGAAAATTATTGACAAATGGTAACGGTTTGGAAATGTCTAGAGTATTTGGGTGACCACTGAAATATCCACACAAGAACGTCAATGGATGCAAGGTATTAAAGTCAATGAATCTTCATACAGTGTCAAAAGGGGAAAGGCTTCAGCTGGTTTCTCTTCAGAACTTGGGCTTGTGTAGATCATGTCCTACTCGGGCAAGATCCAGGCAGCATCGGCGGCGATGTCTTGGAAAGTCCAGGGAGGTGGCGGTCCCAAGGAGAATAATGGGTGGTGAGAAGCAGGCCATTTGTCTCCCAAAGCGTGACCTGCGGAATCGTATTCTGTATTGACAGAGCACATGGCAAGATGGAACGAGAAGTTAGGAATGCAACGGAAAGTTTATTTAACCCCTTCACGCCGGGACGCGTTAAAACATGCCGGAAAAATTGAGATCCTCAGCCCGCTTTTCAGCTATTATTCTCAGCCCATGCTGGAGCGAACACGGTGAAAGAAGGCAGACCCTGGCTCTTGTATATATGGTAATTGGTCTTTGTGCGTAGCCCAGAAATTAAAAGACCGAATTTGCATCATAATCACCAGCTCCACAATAGTGCCCACTTTGAAAAGAGGCAACAGGAATGTGGAAGCTTGAGTAGAGCCGCATGCCACCGAACAATCAGCCTTTTCACCGTGTAATTCAAAGCGTGCACAGCACGCTGGGCTACAAACCAAGAATTTGTGGTTTGGCAGGTGGCCTTTGTGGCCAAGCGAGGCTGGAATTCTTGGAGTCGGCTTTAGGAAAGAAATTCCCGTCGAGAAGGGGTTAAGGAGTCAGCTCTCATTCCTAGCTAAACCACACAAAGTGCAAGGTGCACTCTAGGATGGTACTCACACCTAGGTCTTCTTTGCTTCTCAGTCAGAACCAACTTTACATAAAATTACTAAAAATTAAGGAAACCTAAATTGAGTTTACATAAAAAAAATCACAAATGGAGAGAATCTATCACTACTAAAAGATGTAAAGTTTCGATGGTGTTCACCCAGAACATTACTTACAGTGGGAATGTCATAATGAGGGAAGTAGACAGCATAATGGTTTATACACAAACATGATCTGTGCCCGGCAGTAATGGTAGACATATGTAGACATGTGCTAGCTCATTTGAATAGAATGTGGGAGGAGTCTGGAAATGGTCACACTTTTAGTTGCGCCTCATTTGAAAAAAGGTTCTAACATACTTACTCATAGCCTACGGGATTCATACAAGTATTTACAGAGCAAGCTGAATACTGGATCAGAAATTACAGCCTACATCGTACATGTACATGCTACTCAGTGTCGTTTGGACATGTATGCACTTAATGTATTAGCCAGATAGTGTACGGGTTATTCAAGGTCATTCAGGGACTGAATTGTAACCTGTGCCCATGGCAAAGTATGAACAGAAATATGGTCAGAACTTAAATAGAATTGGATCATGGGAAGTAATGTAACAAATGAACCAGTTCATTAATTCAATACGGCAAAATGCAAACAAAATAAGTATTCTATAAAAAAAATCATCAACTACTGGAGTAAATGAAAAAACAAGAAGTATTCAAGATAGGCAGATAATCAATATTTTCAGTAAGAATGCACTATCGTTTGAAAAGTTATTCAAAAGTGTACGATCGATTCAGTCATTCAGGAATTAGGCAATGTATTGTGCTGCATAAAAATGTGATGAGCAACGTCCAAAAGAAATCTATCACTATATAGCTATGTCAAGTTTAAGTAAAAAACGCTGGCTAAAAATACATGTACATGAGCCAAACAAGGGAAGCAATGGAGTATACAAACCACACATACATGTACATGTACCTGTAATTACATTGTTGCTCAATAAAGATGTGGCATACATGGGGAAAAGTATAAATAAAATATCAGTGATTATGTATTTCCTGCAGAGAGGGAAAATACCAAATTTTCAGTGAGCGGGACAAATTCTGATTCCGCCACAATAATCAATAACACGGGCAACATGATTTATACAAAAAATAAGAAAAGATCGGCTTACCAGTATTGACTGAGCACGTGGCAAGATGGTGTAAGAAGTTAGGAATGCGACAGAAAATCGATTTAATGAGTCAGCTCTCGTTCCTAGCTAAACAACAGAAAGTGCAAGGGGCACTCTGGGATGGCACTCACACCTATATATGTAGGTCTTCTTCACTTCTGAAGACACAAGGTGGGGCAGGGGGTTTGGTAGCCCTACCGATCACAGGCTCATTTTCATTTCCATCCCCCCAAAAAACCTGGATCGGCCACTGGCACTGCTGACAAGTCTTAAGACGTAAGTAACAGATGTACATGTAAGTTAAACAGGGAAAATTTTGGGTGCGGGTTAGCGTAGGGGTTCTTTCCTCGCTTTGCACTGATGAGACCTGACTTTGAGTCTTAGCTTGGCCCAGGCTTTGAAGTGCATTTGATTTCCAGTCCATACTCGCTCTCACAGGTTTTCTCCGGGTACTCCGGTTTCCTCCTGTCTCTAAAACTGGACCGTCTTCCTAACACTATAATGTTAGATTAATGCTGATAATAAAGATTATGAAATACATGTATAGTTATTGGCACAAATAGCCTGAATACATGTATGTTCATGGCGCTCATTACCAAAGTA